TTAGCCAGCAGAGTTGAAATTGATGGATGTTTTCTTTTTTTTCCGAAGCTCAGTGTTTTCGGTGCTGTACTGTTGGAAATAAGGCATAAAATGAGATTAGTTCCAAGTCAGTCCTGTGCTGTTTGTGAGGCTAATTCTGTTTCCAGAATTTCCTTTGGTACTGCAATTTCCTATTGACTTCAGTGCTATCGTAGGGAGTCCTGTGCTCCCAGCTGTCACGTGTGGCAGAACCTGGTTCTGGATCCTGCAGCGGTATACCGGCGCCACTTCACTTCATAGGTGAAAGTCTTCCCTGTTGCGTATAGAAGCTTAGCACAGAATTAAGATGGCTTTATATTTCACCTGTGCCTTCCAGACACTGGTCACCTCTGGAAGCCACAGTTGTCACCAGGACAATTCAGGAAGACCTGCCCAAACAGCCACAACTCTGTAATCTCCTCAGTTCTGTGTATTTCTGTCCAGTCCCATGCACCCATTTTTTACTTCAGTTAGACACCCAAGATGTATTTGTCTTCTTAAACCTCTAGCTGCCTTTGCAGTCCTGGTGCTAAGTCACAGTGGTACAATCAACACACTGGCCAACATACTGTGCTAAAATGCATTGAGCCCTGTACAAACCCAGTTTGACAACTAATACAGTCCAAGTGAGCTAATTTAAGGTAAACTCATGCATCTTCATGCTCAGTTTCTATGCCAGAAGAATTTTTTTCCCAGCAAGCTTCTGGGATGTAAAAGCCCATTTACCTGAAGTTGAGAGGATAAAGTCTCACTGAGTCAGTCATTCACATAATTCAAAATTACAGCTGGGCATTCATATCTGCAAAATTAGTTTTTCCAGTTTTCTGAGTATAGGCAAATAAGGCCTCGTTTCAGCCAGCTATTTACAGGTCTTAGAACCAAACGGTCTTTTCACCAGGTCATATACCAGATTCCGGCTTCAGCCTGCTGGCTCCCTTATTAATACTTAACTAGGGAGAGAAATAAAGTATAGTAGGAATTCTAGTCAGAAACCAGTAACAGTTTCAAACCCCTTATTTTTCCACTAGATGGTTCCAAAAGTTTAAACAAAAACAGATTTAAAAAAAAAAAATTTTAGAGCTAGAAATCCAATGTAACAACAGTGAAACAAGGTTGACTTGTTCCAGTGATGCACAACGTTACACAGTGCTTTTCATCCTTCCAACACCTTGCAGACTTGGGGTCCCCTTTGCTCTCAGGTTGTTTGTCACCAGTGTAATACCATTCACCCCAAAAGAGTTTGGCCTGCTTTGGTCAGGGTCCATCATGATCAAAATCCAAGCTGTGGGCTGATTAATCAGCATAGAGGTACCAGGTAAGTCCCACCACCTCTCATTCTCAGTCTTCATTTCAAAATCATCAGGGTCCTTCCTGATCTGAATTATTCCTGTTCTAGATAAAGAGGAAAGTTGAATCTGTATGTGAGAGACTTCACTGGTATCCCCTTAGATGTCAATGTTCCTATAAACCTCCTTCTGGCAAGCCACTTAAGCCTAGACTCATCCTACTAATTTGAGATTCATGTTTGTCATCCTCATTAGTTACACTTGTGCAAGGTGCACAGAGGGTCCTGTAGACAAGAATTGTCTGAGTGCACTCACAGGACTTTGCACACTGAGTCCCAGATTTGGCTTCACTGAGTAAGCATGAAAAATGGCCATGTGGAAGGTTTATTTTCCTATGGATTTGGATCTCACCCATCGCTGACTTTTGCCCGTTAGGAGCTGCAGGGTCTCCCTACATCTATCTCTTGTCTGGTACTTGATGTGAGCTCATGTTTCAGCCTTTCTCCAAATCATGGCAAGAATTAATTTTCTCATCCTTTTTCAGCTGTTATTTTGCATAAATGTCTAGCACTTAAATATCTTGTATTCTTCTTTTCCTTTGGAAAATTTGTTTGAAATCATACAGTAGATTTAGAAGGTATTGCAATCAGGACACAGGGGTAGATGCTCAGATGGTGTTATCTTACAAATTTATTATAAAAGATACTATAACTTCTTTTGGCTCCAGTGATGTTTTATTTGGAAGGAATTTAGCTCCTCTGAATTAATAATCTAATGTTCATTACTATTCTGAGGAATAATGTTTTTATATGTCTTCTTTTTATCTTGAGCACCCTATTACATTTCTTCTATCATGTTTGGACCACATCTCTGTGTCACAGTTATTCCCCTGTGGTAATACCTTGGTGAAATAAAAAAACAGAACTAGGAATAATGTTTCGACCATACACAGTTTCAGGTGCTTAACTTGATAAGAGATCTTCCTCATAGGTTTATTTTGGGTATACTGAAGCACAGTAATGCCCAACAGCTTTAAAATGTTTCCATGGTCATATAATACAAAATAAGGCTTCAAATGTGAATTTTATATTCCACTAAATTTGGTCATCATTTAAAGCATATTAGATCATCCATAAATAGGAGGCCTTTAGAGCATCAGGCTGTTTAGGAACAAGTGGTGGACAGTTTTGGAGAACTTCTCTTTCTCCTTGGCATGTTTTTATGATAATTCAAATATTGGAGATAATTTACAACCCTGCTGGTACTATACCAGAGACCGTATGTGATGGAATTTATATCACTTTTCCTTTTAGACATTTAAACCACATGTCATTCTAGAAAAACGAGGACAGAGGTCCAACAAAGGAGTGATTTATTTTCAGTTAAAATACTAGCTACATTAAAACCACATGTTATTAAGTACTGTATAACCAAACCATGCTCAGAAGAAGGCTTACGACACTAAAGCTTGCTTAAAATGTTTCTTTTTTTTTCCCAAAAACTTTGGCAGTGCATACATTAACAGACTTTACCTGAGCTGCATGGTACATTGGCTATCATTTTCCCTTGATGAAACAAGTTATTAAAGTACCAGAGTACAAATTAATTCAGTTTCTTATTATTTTTCTCACATTTCTGGATGGTTGAACTTTTCTGTCCATTTTAGGTAACATCGCATCTCTGTGAATATCCCTCCTGAAACAGCATAATACAATTGAGGTTGTTAAGACTGAAACATAGTTTTACAAAGTGAAACAATTTGTATTTTGGGCATTTTACCAACATGAACTCTCATAATGCTCCTATGAGAAGAGTAAACTAATGCACAGAAGTAGTGCACACAAAACCAAGACCAGACAGGAAATCAATAGGAAGATTAGAATTAAGGGGCCCCAATTTTGTTTTCAGGATGCAGATGCTGAGGAACAGTTTCTGTCCTCATTGCACTACAATTCCACACCAGATTGCCTAGGACTTGAAGGGAATTTTTTATGCTAATGCTGCCAGGTGAGTTGTCCAAAGCTCGGTGGAGATGACCAGTGAAGGATTCATCCTGTACAAAAGACTTCTGCAGTTGAACCAAGCTTCCATGCTGGTTCTGGCCATGTATACTGGCACAGAGAGGGTGCTTGAGGGACTGGGAACTTAGCTGGCTCACCTGTATGCTCCTGGGGATTGTTAGATGCCAAAACCCTGTCAAGATATGCTGGTATCAAATGGGGAAGTGAAAGTGTTGTTGCCTCACTGTTCAGATTCTGTTCAACGTGCAACTTGCGTGGATGCGAAAGCCCGTCCCTGTGCTTTCCAAGAACTGCACAAACATTAATGAATCACCACAACACCCCTGTCTCACAGGTAATCGCTGGACAGTTTTAGCCCTAGAAAGGAACTAGCTAGTTACTGTCAAACAGCCTTTAAACAAAGCAGGGATCAGAAGCAGTGAATTTCTCTGCTTGTATGCTTGAGATCATTCTAATTCAGATGTTACAGTCACATCTTGAAATCATTATTACTACCTTAAGCTTGCCTGGTATTCTCATTTGTCCTGAAATTGCTTAGCTCAAGCAGATCCTGAAGTATTGATTCTGCATCAGCAACACGCTAAAATTTGTAGCAGCTTTAAACAAAAAAAAGTGTATGGTATATGTCTTTTCTCACCATTTGGCTGCCTAACTGAAATGTAGTATATGTATTAGACAATATAACTATAGAAACTCTACTGAATTAAAACTGTATAGTTTGCTGCCTTGTCTTGGATGGACACCAGTACCAAGTAATGCAAGAGATGGTGCAAGAAACCACACAGTGGACAAAAAAGGACCATGTGGTAGGCTTTGACGTGTGCCACGTCTAAATCATAAACTGTTACAGTATATATATATAATATATATACAGTATATATAATATGAATTAAGCATGTCCAAAATTATTATTGAATCACCTCCCTAACAAGCCTCTCTGCTGTACAGTATATTTTATTTTATTTTTTTTACCAGCCTGGTGGGCACATCTATAGTCACAACTGAGATCGCTGCCTAACTGAAGTAAATGGCGTGTAAACTCACAGTAGGAAATACAAGGCAGCTATACTCCTGCTGCCTGCTTTGCCTTTCCTGAAGCACTAGAAAGCTAGTGCTGCCACCAGCACTGAAAGAATATTGTGGGGCACAAAGTGGCAGCTATTGCCATGTTAAATTGATAGAGGAAGCTGCTCCTTACAGTTGGAGCAGCAAGGTTGTCTCTCCAGGCATCTCTCCATCTCATCTCCCAGTTCTGTCCTTCTCCTCTGTGCTTCCCTTTGTGGCCTCTTGTCTTTGAGGTGGCAAAATTTCAGTTTTGTTTACTCTGCTTGGCAGCATGAGCACATTTGGGAGAACCAAAAGGACTCACAGGTTAGGCAGTCAAAGGTTGGAGGAAGAACATGATTATACTAGTGATTCACTTATGATACTCAGCAAAAAATGTTACTATCATGCAGGTGAATGAGGTGAATTAGGACAATATCGCCCAGAAGTTGTCATCTTCCATTGTTTTTGTTTCCTAAAAAAATGCAAGTGATTGCACATTTTCCCTGATTAAATTATGATTCTCTTTATGTGGGTCTCAGAGCCTTCTTCCTTTTTCTTAATTTAGGTTATCACCTATCTTTTCTTTATATTGCATCATCCAACTGATTTGTCTTCTCCCTTTCTCTAGATGTTTCCAGATGTGTGGCTGAGAGGAAGTACACCCAGGAACAAGCTCGCAAGGAATTTCAACAAGTGTTTATCCCAGAGTGCAATGACGATGGCACGTATAGTCAGGTTGAAAATTTTTCATTCAGTATTTTGCATGACCGGAAAGTCAGAATATACGTGTTTGCAGGGGATGAAGAAGAGACAAATGTAATGAAGTGAAATGTAATTTCAAAATGAAATGTAATTTGTGCTAACTCTGATGTTAAAAAATGGATGGAAAATTCATGTTTTGTGCTGAGTCCTTGTTCTTTTTTTCAGAGTTGGCCAGCAAAAGAGCCAAACATTACCATTGTTCATGTGATACACTCCCTGTTCTTCTAGGTTGAGGCAGCTGAGTCATTCTTGTAGCCCCCTGAATACTCATCAGATGGTAAAATGCTTGGAATTTCTGGTCTGTTCTGATCCCAACCAGAAATCTTGTGATCAGAGTCCATATCTTAGTGCTAAAGAATGAATCATACAGGATTCTTCCCTATTCTCAGCTGAATTTCTGCACAAGTGTATGATCTGAGACTAATTTACTTAGGTTAGATCATGGAATTCAGAAGGGACACTGTTAGAAGCTTATCTTGTGATATATATCCCAACCAAGATCACCTTCTGCCGCCTCTGTACTGCATTTAGTTGCAGAGTTGTGCAGAAGACAATCCTTCTTGTTTTAAGCATGGTGAGGGAAGTGATATTGGCCCTCAGGAAATACAATGCAATTGGTTTCTAAGAGGAATTCCAAGAGTTTCCTTTCTGACAGCTTGGGATATGAATAATGCTGGCAGAAGCACTCTGTCCGGCTCCTTCAGTGGGTGGAACAATATGTTCTCTATGTGGAAAAAAACTTGAGATTGCTTGTTTCAGGAACAGTTTATGTGTCCCTTGAGGAACTTCATTGTGAGGTTTTCATAACACCTGCACCTCACTGTTCTGAAATAGGGAGTAAACAACTACATATTTCAACAGTTTTCTCCTCCATTGGATTCTGAAGGACCTACCACACTTTGCTTGAAATAAACTCTTCTTTATGCTAAAGAATCATATGTAGGACTGAGATTAGGTCCATCACGGTTTATTGTTCTAGCTTTTGCCAATGTAGTTTGCTGGACTAGTCTTTTGTACTTATGTGTCATGAAAGCTGTGGGATAACAGACATATGTCTGACAAACTGCATGTGGTTCATGTTATTTCTGACAGGTTCAGTGCCATAGTTACACTGGATACTGCTGGTGTGTCACTCCCAATGGTCGTCCTATCAGTGGCACTGCTGTGGCCCACAAAACTCCCCGGTGCCCAGGTAAGACTTGTTTGGCTGGCCAAGTTATGACATTGCCTCATGAACAGTAGAGTTTATCTGTGGTGCCTGATTAGATTTAAGGGAAAAAAATTTTCACTGGAAGAGTGGTTCAGCCCAGAAACAGGTGCTGGTGGGAGCTGTGGACTCCCCATCCTTGGGGATTTGCAAAACTCAACTGGATGAGGCTCTGAGAAAGTTGGTCTAGCTTTTAAGCTAGCCCTGCGTGAGTTCTGAGGTCACTAACACCCTAAACCTTCCTGTGATTCTATGAATCATCTACTTTATTTGTACTATAATCTAGCTATTGAAGGAGTTTTCTGCATGGGTTATTTGTGTGATATTTATGTGTGAATATATGAAACCATGCAACTGACTTGCTGAGGTAGTCCTTTCTTTATGTTGAAACTCTCTTGCATATAAACTCATTGCAAAAAATTTCAGAGGGCTTTGCCTTTTCAATATTTAAAGTATTTAGAGTATAGATCCCCCCCCCAAAAAAAAATGGAGTGTGAATGTCCTGATTTGTAACATAGCCCAATGAAAGAACTCCCACAGCAAATGCCATGAATGACCAAATCCAGAGGAGAAATAAAAATGAAACAAAGTGTTAAGAACATAATGGAATAATTGTCTGTGTAAATTAATTGGCAAATCAAACTCATTGCCATGTGTACTGCCCTTTGTCTTTCATTAGGACAATTAACAGGTTCCTTGTTTTTTAGGAAATTGCTTCTGACCCTATTTCATTGACTTTGATAATAAATATAAATCCCCAGTGTATGAACAGTTACCAGAATTGCTATTCACCTTCCCTGAGGCTGACAAAATTGCACAGAAATACTTGAGCTCTAGGTATTGCATTTTTGTTTGTGCTGCACCACCATTCTTTGTCAGAAAGCGGAAGAAATAGCTTTAAAAAGCTAACCCTGTAACGTAAATGAAGCTGAAAAAAAGTGGATTAGAGCCTTTGAGGGAATTCATCTGGTCTGATCTACTTCAATCGTTCAAGCACAATATTGATGTTTTTAATAAATAGATGGAGGAAGGAAGAGAACACTGAGAAAGTTTCAACAAAGATTATAAAAAGTTAATTCCACTTTTAAGGTCTGTCTTATTTAAATGATTTACAGAATCTTCCATGCATCTTGCCTGTAGGTGAACTTTAGCCAGAAAGTACTCTTCAGACTGATCCTTTTGATCCAGTCTGAAAAGTCACTGTGGAATGACAGTCAATGGTGAAAAATAATATTTTTAATAATAATGTTCAGAAGCCTTAGAATAGAGAAAAATGTGCATTCATTTTAATGTAATTATTGTTTATAACTGGATCACATCTTCAGAAGACACATGGTTAGGATAGCATTTATGTGCTTCTATGTATTCTTGAGTAGAGGTGCTTTTGCATGTTCAGAGCCAGGGCTTCCCTGAAAGCATGCTTTCATTGCTTTCGCTGCAATATCAATTTGTAGCTTCCTCTCTTTCACTGATACCAGTGAAAAAGGGGTTATGCTGATGCTGAAAGTTCAACAAGTAATTGTTTGGCAGGTGTGTCACAACATATAGCATCGTGTTTGGCTCAAAATGTTGATGACTTAGTTACTGTACTTCCACTTTTTCTATTTGTATTCAGTATTATCAAGGAGAAGCTGCAGTGTAGTTCCAGGTTAATCAATAGATTAATATGAGAATTATTCTATCTCTACAGGAACCAAACCCTAGTTCCTCTCAAAGGTGTATTCATGTGCCTAGCAGATAAACTGCCAAGATTGCTTCAGCTCATTTTTGGAGGGGTGGGAAGGGAAGTTAGTTTTACAGAAATGTTAAAGAGAAGGTGAGAGTAGCACTCGATTTTAATTTAGTAGCTCAGAGATAAATAGACTGCTCCAGGGCCCAGGTGAGTACGCAGAGTCTGATTTTGCTCCATGGAAGATCGTGGGTGATTTTCCAACTGTTATGAGGCCCTTTGGGATTATCTCTGCACATTTCCTCCCCTGCTTATACCAGTGCTCTCATGTTTTACTGCTCACCACTTCTCCTTTGTCCCTCAGGAAAGAAGTCCAGCGACAGCAGAGTTTGGAAGTAGATTTGAAGTGCTAGGGGGTTTTGCAGTAGTAGTGGCTAAGGGCTCAGTTTTAAGAGGTCTGGAGAAACCTTCTCATTCAACAGAGAAGGCAGCTACAGATTTTCTCAGAAAGTTATGTGTTATAATAAGGCAAAACTCTGCTCTTATATTGCAGAATGAAAGCCTGAAGTACAACTAGAGCCCTCTCCCTTTTCCCAGCATATGTTCAAAATTGCCGTCTGTTTAGGATAACAGAGTTTTTTTTCCCCCAGGACTGTTGATGTTTTCCAGATCAACATTGATTCTTTTTTATACTTTCTTTAGTACTCCTATGCACAGGAATTACGATCAAAATATTAATGGGTATATTGAAGTTCAGCAGATGGACCCCTGTCTTACCTAGTATTTCAGGGATGCCATTTCTTCCAACTAAGACTATTGTCCTTAGTCGGTCTAATACATTGTGTGCTTGCTAGCCTCGTTGCAGGCATTGCCTTGCTATTTTTTGATATTGCAGGCAGATCTCCTGTAGCAGTGGCATCCTGACATCAGCATGTTTATGTATTTCACTTGCTTCTGTGTATTCTGCAGGCATGATGCTATAGCTATTTCAAAGACTTTTATGCAAATTCCTCAGTTCGCATGTGCCAGACTTTTTTATCCCAGGATTACTCTTGCCACCTTTTCCCTTTAGAGCAGAACATGCACAGACAATCAAGATGGAAGGTAGAGTCAATTGTGAACATGCTTTTTTAATGATTTTCTCATAGGAAATGTGATACCGTGGAATGTGTGAAAATTTCTCTTTTTAATGAAAATATTCAGTGTTTCTTTTCAATTCTAGGTTAGTTCTTCAGTAACTTCAGATAAGGTTTGAATACATGTCTAATCAACTGTGCTGTTCCTAGATTATGGGATAATTTCTTGCCTTTCATTTTCTCCCAGTAGAACCACCTTTGACTCTGGTGAATATGCAGAAATAGGAAAGAAGAGCATGGCAGCCTGGAAGAACTTGGATTTTAATAGAGGAAATACGGAACAGAATTTAGGATGAGCAGTTAGGAGTTTGGTTTCTCAATTCCATTCCCTACCTGTGCTTCACATTTACTTTACATTGTCGTAATATTAGATAGGTCAAACAATCAACTTCTAAGTTTATCTAACTGTTAATATTGGTAAGCTGCATACCATGATGCTTCCTAAAGTTATCTCAGGTCCTGGCACAGAAAAGTGTCACGTGTATATTTTTTATGTGTCTACAATAGCTGTATGAGCAATTTTGTGCTCATTGTGTTGTTCTGGTTGCTCTTATTGAAGCTGTCTTATTTGCTAGAGACACAAGGTGTGGAAGGATGAAGGTTATAAGCAGCATTAAAAAATGCAGGACTCTCCAACTGATTTATGTAAAACCTTCACTTCAGTTACTACATCTTTACCTGAAAGAGGCTCTTCTTCCATCTTTTCCAGTTATTCCCACACCAACACTTGGTACTGCTAAAACACACATGATAAATCTCAGAATGCCATTCCACTCCATGGAAATAATCTCCACTGTTGCAGGAGCAGTGGTGAGAAGGAGAGTAAATCAAACACATTCCCATGACAGCATTAAAAAGAAAGCTTCTTAAAAATGATGAATGTCCCCCAAAACTTTCACTAAAAAACACCAGACATAAGAAAGACATTTTTACAACTCCCCATCTCTGTTATCAGCACTGCAGGGAACTGCAGAAATTCCACAGGCCCAGAGTCCTGGGAAATGGGGCAGAAATTGAGAAGCAGGTGTTAAATTATCATTGGAAAATACAGTGTTCACCTATTGTAGGGGTTTTATGCCATATTAACTCTTCTGGGCTTCTGCCAGTGAGATTGCAGAGGTATGGACACATGTTTTATTATTCTGTGAAGTAGTTTTGCTACCTTACAATTAAGATGCCATGATCATCTCTTAAGATCAAAACACAAGAACTTTTAACAATTCAGAACTCTTCCTGTCTGTATAGTATTATCATCAGATAATATGATGAAAATGAATATATTTGGGAAGGCAATGAACTGTTTTAGTTTACACTATATTGCTTTTGTTAGCTGGGAAAAATATCCAACCTTGAATTATCTAGTAGTTCTGTCCCAATACATAGAACTTTCCCTATAAATACAGACACACGCATATGTGAAATACAGAACAGCATGGGAAGTTTACTGTCCTGTTTCTTGATACCTGCATTCAGTGATTACATATCAAATATTCTTTAGCAGGAGATCAGAAATCATTATCTAAACTGGATAATAGAACTATAGAAAATGGGTATGCTAAAATCACAAGCCACAAAACTCGCATCAAATTCCCTGGAAGATTTATTGTGCCTCAGAAGTTGTTAGACTGAAACTGGGCAGAATTGTGGGTTTTACAATAAACTAAGGCATAAATATTTCTGCAATTTATTTTTTTTTAATTCATCAGAATCATAAATGTATAGATGGCTAAGGAAATGTACAAGCTAGAATGGTACTAAATTATTCTTGTTAAAATAATGCTGCTGAATCTAATATCCCTACTTGTCGTCTCCCCTTCCATAAATATATTTATGTGGTGTTTTAGTTGTTTACAGTGCACTGAAAACTTGGAAACTGATTGTATTGCCTAACTTTTAGATAAGTTATAAGTTGCTATTTCTGTTTCTTGCCTAGCTGAAAATGTGAGCATTTGTCGTGAGTATTGAAGATACAATTTCCTAGAAACTTGCACATGCAACTACCTATCACCATTTAAGCTAGAAGTACTTCTACCTCAGATATATTCAGGAAATGGTAGAAAAAACTGACACAAGCTCAATAACCCCTCCTCACCTCCAGCTTGGAGACAACAAGAAAAGTTTCTGCTGCATAAATTAAAAATTTCAGGTGAAACTATGTGAAGAGTGCAGATTTTCCTTTGTAGGAAATTCTGTGAATATTTTGTTAGCTTCCTAAGACTATTAAAAAATTAATGTTAGCCCGGTGAACCTAATTTTCCTAGCATTCATCTAATTTCATAGTGAAATTAGACTCACTATGATAAAGTTAGCCTTTGTAAATGCCGCTGTCTTCCTCCATCCATCAATTTTCCATCAAAATTTAAGGTAAAAAAAAAGCAAAGCATCGAAAAAAGAATTCAGTTCTCCCTGACTGTACATGAATATCATATAGTCAATATTTCTCACCATTTCACATACAGATGGAGTAACATGAAGGCATCTTGTTGTTAATGAAATCTGGAAAGATTTTTCTGCTTTTTGTTTAAGATGTGGAATATTATATAAATTTCACTAATGTGTTAAATTACTTAGGTATAAACTGAATTTTAAGTTCAATTTATAATAGTCGTTCTGAATGTACACAGAGAGACAACACTGGTGTCAAACTGCGGCTTTACTTAACACTCTTTTTAGTGCAAAGGGGCTATCAGTGGCAGTTTATCACACATATTCCCCATGCTGAGACCTCATTTCCACTCACAAATTGGTGTAAAATGCTTTAGTGTGGATGAGAATCAGACCCAAAATCTCTGTATTTGCAAGAGAATTATAGTTATACTCCTGTGCATCAAAATTAAATTGAGAAACTACAGAGTTAATTGTAACTGGATGAAATTTGAGGAAAGATTGGATCACTGATTTTTAGTGCAATTAGAAAGACCTGTAATTTTGTATGCATTACTTCCTAAAACTGGAACATCTTATTTGAGTTCAAGCTGAGCCTCTTATCAAATTCAAGCCAAGCACCAAAAAGCTCAGATCTTCTGGCTTCAGCTAGCAGAAATGTGAGAATCTGCCTCCTCTTCAGGGTGAACAACACGGATTAGTATTGCAGTCTGTTTAGAGCAAGCTATCCCAAACACCCTTGGATATAATTCCTACAATGATAATGGCTTTATTTTTCCTGTCTGAATTAATACTGAAGCATCACTAAGTATATTGACTTTCTAGTGATTCAAACATAATATAATAAAAATACCCTACCACCAAAAAAGGAAACAAGTCTAAACTAGAATATTTTTTATATGGATGTATAAAAGCTGTATTAAAAGCTGAATCGTTCAGAAGGTAATACCAGCTTGGCTGCATTGTCATGTATTCTTTTATGGAGGCTTTAAATTCAGCGTGCCAGATTTGTGATGTTAGCTGTCTTCCCTCTGGCAGGCTCCTGTGGCTAAACTTCATGCTGAAGTAACCACCAGTTCAGCGTGGTAAAAAAGGCCTGTGATAAGAGGGTTCTCTTACTTAAATTGTCCTTTTAGAACGGATTTATTGTGCTGCAAGGTTTGGGGGTTTTTTGTTTGCTTGTTTGTTTTAAAGTCAGTTAATTTAGTTATTCTAGAGGGAAATAAATTAAGAAGATTAAAGCAACCAAATTATTTCACACATTTCTGAGCATCTGCCAGATATGGGGATTTTTTTCATAAAACAGGTGTATGTCAGAAGAGACGATGTGGTAAGAATTGATAGACATGCTTTTTATTTTTTGATCACTCCATGTGGCTCTTCAGAGAGAAAAATACCACTTTTAAAGGTGTTTTTTAACACAGCAGAGATAGATATGTCGATAAGAAGTGGCTAGGAGTTAGAATCATACAAATGGTTGTAATAATGAGGCATAAGCAAGAAATAAGGAAGTATTTGTATTTTAAACCCTGAGGACAGCTACCTCCTGTAAAAACTAGTAAGAAAACCAGTAGATTCTCCGTTTCTTGATGACTTGAAATCAAGACTGGATGCTGGGTTGGGTTGGAGTCCAGGCTGGTAGAATAAGCTGTTAAAAACCATCTCCTCCAAACTTCTTCACTCCACTCCCACCACTGCTGTCTCCTTTCCTAAGGGCCACAGCTCTGAGGACATCTCCTGCAACCAGCTCAGAATAAGGCACTGTCCCTGCCTCCCCCAACACGCACACTTTTCCACACCAGCATAGGGTTTTTGGAGGGCCTTGTTATGAGGTATGGGAAGCAGAAAGGGGCATTTTTTAATCTGAGCCAGGATGGGGCTAGAGGCTGAAGAAGCCCCACAGAGCAGCTGAGGTGCATGGGCAAGATTCTGTGTGTAGGAAGGGTGCTGCCCTGCACAAGGAACAGCAAGGAATTAATGCCGGGGCAATGCATCTTACTGCAGGACCTGTCCTCGCTGGTCTGTGGGGAAGGGAGACGTTGACCCTGCAGCATGTGAGCATGTTCTTGCACTTGTGTCCATGCACTCTTTAATGTTATCTCTTTCTCAGGTCCTGCAGAGGCCAAGAAGTAGCGCCTGACAATAAATTGATGGTACACGAGTGCAGAAGTCAGGCAAAGCTAAAATCTTTGGTTTTCAAGGGAAGAATTTGCTGATATTTATTGCTTTAATAAACAAAACAGAATCATTAAAGCTGAACTGTGTTTCTTAGAAAACATATTAAAAGTGAAAATAATATTTTTCTGGTTAATCCCTTTTTCCAATTGCAGGTTCAGTGAGTGAGAAGCTTCCACAACGAGAAGGTGTGGGAAAAACAGGTAAATATCTCAGTTGGTCTTTAAATGGAAGCTAAAATAGCTGTGGGATACACCACTGTGATTTTCCATAGGTTTAAATTACCAATATGTATTCATCATGTATTATATATGCATATATAATGCGTATACATGCATACATGCTATTCATTTTATGTCTGCATTGTAGATATTTAGTAAACTTATGAGTATAAATGTATATGTAAGTATGCATATATTTGTCTATACATGCATAGACATTATACTTTTCCAGTCTCAGCCCTACAGACTTTGGTATTCTGTGCTGTTTAGAAAATAACTTTTCTTCTCATAGCTATACTCTGAAACATTTTCCCATACTGTTTGCTTGCCCTGGAGGACAGATTATTCTGTCTGTTTGATAAAGACAGCATTCTGCAGTCCCAAAAGCTCGGGAACTGGAGTCCTCACTTTATTTCCATAGCAATCAGTGCTTGAGTCATCTTGGACCCAGCACTTCGCTCTATATTGTGATTAATTCATCTGATGGCTTACATTCATGGCCAGATGATTGTTGTTGTTAGGGATAGATCATGGTGTATATCTTGTTGGCAGGACAAAATCTGATGCAACTCCAACATAGCTGATAGATTTAAATGAGGGAGATATCTATGCTTTAAACAAAATTAAAGCTTACACTCTCCAAACACTTAAAAGACTTTTAAACTCAGCTGAAAATAACATACTAAATGTTGCTGTCAGTTACAGTGGCATAAATTAATTTTAAAGAAGTTACTCATATTCGTGCTAATGTTAATGACTGGTCCACTGTAAATATAATTGATTTTTTTTTTTTTACAGGAACTTTTGCAGCATTGTAGTATACCCAACATTTAAATAAACTATTGCGCTGTTAGGTTAAGAAGATCAGAACTTCCTTAAAGGCTGATAATTACAAAGCACTGGAAAATTGTTCCTTCATGTATTTCCAGACAAATTGTGGGTTCCACTAACCTTGAGTTACCCATTGGCTTTAGGTCAGGACTTTCACTTTCAGCTTTGAACTCAATGAACTATCCCATATATAAAACTTGTCTGGAATCCTTTATTTTTGTTTGT